ATCCAGTGGAATCCTGAATCTGAAATCTGATGCTAATAATATAATAATTGTACTAAACTAAGCAGTCTTAATACAAAAGGGATTAATTAGGTAAGTCCTAGTTGGATTGGGATATCTTAATGAACAAGGATTAGGGGTTGCTAGGCTAGGCTATTACTAAATTTTTATCAATTATAATTCCAGAATTCAGATTTAAGAGTTTCTCTTGGGTTTATTGCCCTAGAACTTAGTTATATCTTTGCTCCATCTTTGATTTTATTGCCATTATCTCTCTTTTTTCTGTTATCACTGGAATCTGCTCCTAGTGCAATTGGCCCTATTTTACCCATTGGACAGCAGCTTATCACTGCTGCCCTGCATCATGAGAAAGAAGCAAAATATAAGGCAAGAAAAGCACATTAAGAGCTAATAAAACCAGAAATGAGCAAGTTTACCTTCCAGAACCAGAGTATTTGAGGATCGGTCTCTTTATAGCCATTGTAATCAGTATGCGCCTTCCAGTCTTCAACACTAATAGCACTTTCACTTCCGTGAAGCATCCAATCAAGATCTTCTAGCTCTAAACTTCGGAAAAAGATACTCTGGAGCCTTGAGCCACAAAGTATATCAGCAAAACCTTGCGCAAAGTGGGACACCTGTTCAGATATAGATGTGACAAAACGATGCTGAATTAGAAGATTAACATATTCCCCCCTGTTCTTGCTGTTCACAACAATGCTTTCCCCAGCAGGGCAAAGCTCCACAGTTTTCCGGAATCCTAACTCCTCCACTTCTCTAACAAATGTTAACATTAAAGCATCTGAATCAATAACCTTGGCATCCATTTCTAGTATCCGCTTGCAACTATTATACAAGAATGGATCTGCATCTCTTATGTCTTCCAAAGATAAATATGTATCTCCAGCCAGTTGCTGGAAAAACACACGATCAAAGACTATGCCCACCTGCACTTTATGCATCAAAGCTAATGCGATCACTCGGCCAGCAAAGGTGAAATACTCGAGGTGCAAAGGATCAACTTTAGATGCTGCAAAAATAAAAGAGCCGTGACTTACTAAAAATTTGTAGGAACTTTCAAGCATATATATAAAAAAAAAAGTTCACGCAAGAAAAATGCTACATGATATATGATAGGATACAAATGTTTCAGAAATGTGAGTAATGCCAACAGAAGTGACAACTTCATGCAATTGATTAGAGATTAACAATTTTAGCAGAATTACGGCCTCCTTTTGTCCGCCTACAGAACAACCAACAACAACACTAATACACTGACAATCCTTATTTTCTGTTTGTCGTTCCGTAATTTTTACATTTCTACAAATCTAGGCACAATATGCTAAAGAATTTGACCTTACCCTGGTGTCCAATGTTTCTACTAGTCAAAGTCTAAACCTGAACATTCTGTAAGGGGCATCTAATGTTCACCGGCATCAATTAGAGGGATCCAACAAAGTGAAGCATGCACATGTGATCACACACTAGGCAACAAAAGAATAGAGCATCATTATGTACTAAACTATTCCATTATATATTTGGTGCTTGACCATATCTATCGAGTAACCAACACTGTTCCGTCTGTCTGCAATTTAAAGTTCAAATCTTGGGTCAATACCCAATCATATTTCAACACCTATCTATATATGAATGCTATATAGGATTTAGTAAACCAATTATCATCGCAGGCTGGAATTAATGTATCAAGACACGCAAAATGAAAAACAAAATGTAAATGTTGTCCAAGAACACCATGCATTAAAGGCTGAAGGAAGCACACCTGGATTAGGATAGAACCTTCTACAGTCGTTAGGGCATGCAACAAAAAGTGCATTTTGCGGATTAAATATGGCCTGGCATACCAAAAAGAACCACTCCCGCAGTACACCTGGACCTGTAGCTTCCTCGTTTTTGAATTCCATAAATAAACCGCCATGAAGTGACTCAGGTTCCGCACGCCTTATGTACTCGAACGATTCTGCCAATATTTGCGACCTATCAATGAGCATCTCATGCAGCTCCTCATAGTCTTCTTTAACATCAGGGAACATCATCATAGCCAAATGCCTCCGAGACTCAAAATCTAGCACATCTTTGTGCTTAATAAGCCACTGATGATCATCACTTCGAGTTGCATACTTGACAACTAAAGCACATAATGCAGCCCTTCTAAGCCTCATAATCGTCTTAAATTGTTCTTCCCAGCTCTGATAAAGCATAGAAATTCCACTCAGTTCCTTTAAAACAGCAAGATACTGAGACCATCCAGAATGAGCGACATCACCTTCCACCCTTCCTTTCCCAGCCAAAGACTCTTCCATTTTTCCAAGGCATTCATCCATTTTTTTCAGCAAATCAGCATATATAGCGTGAAGAAGCTCAATCTCCTCTCCATATAGTGGATGCCTAAAAGTACCCACTTTCAAGGATGCAGGAATAGAACTCTTGAAACACACTTGACTGGCAACTGCAGTGCGCAAAGGGAGCAAGAACGCTCTAAAATCACGTACATCATCCGACGACGGCCTGCCACTCGCAGGAAGGTCCATACTCACTACCAAGTCCCTAGACAAAACACGTGACAGCTCCCTAACAAATGGAGAAATCTCTTTCAACCCACCAATCAATCCCTCCACTGGCTCCGAGTCCTGCGAATTTCCATCACTTTCTAACAAGGAACCAAGTGAACCTCGGCACAGGAGGTACAGAGGGTCCTCCTCCCCTAATCTCCTAAGAAACTTACAAAACTCTAACACAATCGGTGCGCAGTAATTATGCAAGTGTTTCGGCAACAATGTAGGGTACGAATTCAGGAAATACTTGATTGAATTTTCAGCAACTGTTCTGTTAGCTGGCAGGGGAGAAACATAGAGCATCAGCAGCGCCAAGGGGGCAGAGGACGGAAGGAACACCCGGATATGGCTAACCCCATATCCTGCTGTCATCTCCTTCTGAGCCATGGTTAAGTACTGGCTCATCCTGCTCTTGATGTATTTGGACGGATCGTGAAGCTCTTCACCTCGGCACATCCGAAATGCGGCGGAGACTATGTCCTCTAGGAGTTGCCAGGCCTGAGGGTGATCGGTGCTCCGCAAGCGGCCGACCAGTTGCAAACTGGCGTCGTTTTGGATGGCGCACTCAGCAAGCGACTGGTCCGGCTGCAGCTGTTTACCTCTATATATAAGCCTTTGTTCAAAAACCGGAATGCCAGTGAGCGTCTGTATGCGATCGTGTAGTGATTTCACCTTGTCGTGAGCGTAGGCCTGGATTACCAGATTATTGCCACCGGACATGGTTCTGATGAAGAATTGGAGCATGGTACGGGACCGAGTCGACTCGGAGTGAGCGGATTCTCCGTGAGAGGCCGATCGGGCATTGGGAACCCGGGGATTGAGGGCGTCGCTGTTGGCGGAGGAGTGAGGGTGGTTGGCGACGCCGTTGGACGACGAATCGATGGCGTTGGGTTCGTCCTTCCTCATCCTGACGTGGACTAGGTCAGAGAGAAGGGCGTCGTCCTCTTCGTCGGAGAAGGTGGGCCCGCCATAGTCGTCGAGTTTGCGCTTGGACGACAATCGGTGGTGGAACTGATCCACCGCGGCGGGGACGGCAGATAGGGCAGTTGTGTCGCTGCGCTGGTAGGCAGCGCAATCGACGGTGCTGCTGCTGGTGGGACTCCCGGTGATGGACATTTACAGGGTGGGGGCCCACCCCGCCAGCCGGTTCCTTCCCTTTACGGTTTTACCTCTCGAGAGAAAATTCACGCGCACGGTGGCCGTCGGTGCATGAAATCGCAGCCGGTCCTCCCGGGAAAACAAAATTCTATAAATTAAATTAAATTAAAACGGAGAATAAAATTACCGGCGAGGGTCGAAATTGGGGGAAGCCAACGATCGGGGGCAGGGGTCGTCTGTCTGTCTCGCTCTCTCACGTCTGGGCTTCACATTCACAGCCGTCATCTACAAGACTGTAATCCCACGCTATTATATATTTTTTTAATTTATATAATTGGATTTATTTATAATTTTTCGATTAATTTAATGTTTCTGTGTTCAATTGCCGTGGATTACAAAAATGCCCTCTGGTTATTATCTACTCTCTAGTCTCCACTAGTACTAGTACCAAAGGCGTTACTGATAATTAACGGCTCTGATGCCACTAATTCTATATTGTTAGCTTAAACTTTTCAACCCAATAATTTGATGAAATAGTTAATTACTGGGTAATTCGTCATTTTGCCAGTCACCGGTTTTTGACTTATGATAGAGTCATGGACAAGTGGAAAATATGCAAGTTCGAACCTAAGATGTTTGTTAAAATTTAGTTTAGATTTGCCATGGCCATGGCCAAGGTGAGTGTGCATAGCTTGAAGGCTTGAAGCTATAACCTCTTGAGTGCTGATTTGTCTATAATTGAGTGACGAAGACTTTTGGCTAAAGAAAAATCTGATCGATGAGGGATTTGAATTAGAATTCTCACTAAAATTGTTTGTTAAAGTTATATCATTTGGTCTCAGCGTTAGTGGATTGAGGAGTCTGAATCAGAATTCTCACTAAAATTGTTTGTTAAGTCATTTGATCTCAGCGTTAGTGAATTAAATTGTCAAATGTTAGAGTTGAGAAAAATAGTACCGCAACTATGGTGAACAGGCGTATTAAAACGTATTGATGAAATTCTGGCCAAAAAAGTACCTGATGAAACAAATTGCTTTTTCTTGCGATCACAATTGAGAGTAATACAAACGAATTTGGATGGTATGATGTCGGTGTAAAGTCGCTGCTTCTTTTTCTACTCAGCACTTAAGCCGAGTCGGCGTACATTCAATGCACTTCTGCCCTCTATTTTCCACGCGTTCTTTCCCCAACCACATTTTCTATACCAAGTATTCTCAGTGAATGTGATATCCACACTCCTTTTTATTTCTCCCGCATTTTTTTTGTTTTCAGTCATCGGATTGGATGAATTGAAAAAGATCCACAAACAAAAATTAACAAGGAATATGTAAAAAGTAAAAAAAAATGTGTGGATAGCACACCCCTAAACATAGGCTTTTTCTTACAAAGATTTTTTAGTATGCTTCGGGTAACCTATATTCGGCGGTTTTGGACCGTTAGATTGTTGGTCAAAGATACAACGATCAATATCCAACAGTTAAAAACTCTGTAATATAGGATACCTACCCTTGAACATAATATAATTTTCGTTTCTTACATACCATCCGAAGAAGGCCAATCAAAGTCACTTAACAAAATACTCCGCAAAACATAGACCACATGTTGCTGCAAGAATACCATTTCATGAGATCTCAAGGGTTGGAATGAATGACGTCCCGGTGACGGCAGCATTCCAATAAAAAACTCCACCGTTATTCAAATGTGAAGGTCATAGCCCCCCTACAAACGGAACTCGGATTGGCCGCTCAAAAGTGTGAGGTTGTGCACAAAATCTTCTTCACCTGCAGATAAGTTCCAGAATGAAACATTGGTGGCGCACTTGGGTGAACTGTGAGCCGTTGATCAGTTGAATCCATTTCGGTAACAAGCATTTTCAACATAAAAGCTTTTTATCCAGCCCCTCACAAGAAACAGATCTGGTCGAGCTAGTATACAAAGTATGAAGAAACAATATCATGAATATCATCTAATACTGTAGAACATCGTAATGAGTGTGCCTAACGGCTTGATTACATCATCCGCAGGGTATGTCTAACAATCAAGCGGATCCAGCTCCAAATGTTAGTCCCACCCCAACTGCAGAGGTCCCCCGCTTGATTGTGAGAGCGCCCCTACGGATGACTTCCCAAGAATTTCACTTATAATTCTATGGAGAATAGCAAAGCCCACCTCAAATGATAGTCCCACCCTAAATCTAGACTGTTGCCGTTTCCTCCAGCAAACTATTTTGAAGATGGGACGAAATGTGAAATCGAGCCTGTGAATAATTTCAGAGTATATGAGAAGTGCTTTCCCTCATAATCTAGAGATTAGCATTGCTGTCAAACAATGCGGCATAGTGACCGTATGGGCCATCCGCTAAAGAACACTCACGATCCTTCATTGAGGAACCCAGTAAGAAATGACTTGTGAGCTGTGCTGTATGTGTTTTAAAAGTGAAACACAAAAATCAAATCCTAATGTGATATAAGTAATTGAAATGAAAAGCTACAACTGTCGGTTTCAAAGCTTAAAAGTTCTTACATACTCATTTCTTATATATACAGAGCTAGAAGAAACAGAAAATACTACTTTGAAAAACATAGTGACTATTACATTCAACAGCGCAGTGACCATATCAGATAGTAGAGTGGGTATTGAATTCAGAATATCTTACAGAAGTTCAAGTTCTTAAATGGAAAAAGATATCATAGAGAAAGCAGGTCTTGGTTAGCAGCTGTGGAAGAAGAAATGTGCACCTGATATGGTTAACAATCAGACCAAAACCGACTCGAGTATGTTCGTATAATGGAAGTTAAAGCATTCTAAGGCAACTATGCTCTAATCATTTGGCACACGCTGATGCGCTCAGCTCAAGTACACAACCCGGCTACTTCATATTCAGCCCTGAGAGAAACAATTGTTTCGAAGACCAAAGTAAAAGTGGGTGAATGAGACACCCATGCATTCTGCGTTGATCCTACTTTTCGGTATCTCGAGTAACTATGGTTTCTACCTTATATTTAAACTAGTGTACCAAGTATAAGTCAGATAATTACCTCTCTGTTCTATGTTCTCGTCTTTTGTTCTGATTGCCTACAGCACCAATTTGAAGCCTTGAGCCAGGAAATCATCCCTAACAAATACAAGAACCACCTCAACACATCAATCACTGAATACTGACTCACATAATAGCATATATAACAATATTGCAGCAAATTACCAATTAATCTAAATTTTGATACCTAAAACAATCACAACATGGATACTTTTGCAGATACAATCAAATGGGCAATGAAATGTGAAAAAGCATGCCATTTACCTCTTCTTATTCTGCTTGTCCCCTGCTGCTTCCTGCTGCTTCTCATCCTCTCGTCTACGAGGATGAACCGGAACAAGGCTTTCCATACAAACTACAGCCTCAAACATAGCTGGCAAGCCGCGAACCTTAACACGCTTGACCTTCTGGCTTTTCAGGTCAAACCAAACAAGACTTTCGTGGTCTTGTTCGAACAACACTTCGCGGTCATTCTTTGAATACACCAAAGGCCTAACGCTCTTGATTCTTCGAGTTTGCGCAACGGTAAACAATTTACTCCAAGACTCTTGAACCCCATACTCCTTCAATGTCCACACATCAACATCCTTATCTTCATATTTAGCTACAATGCAAAGACACCCTCCCAAGCATCCCACATCAATCTGACACTTCCTGTCCATGTTCTGCGGCATAGGCACCTCACGAAAAGTCTCATTCGCAACGTCAAATGCAATGACCGATTCGGTTGCAGCTTGATCCAATTCGAGGTTCCGAGTCACCACCCAATGCACACAACCGCTCACAAGAATCCCCATTTTTCGTGTGTTACAGAGTACATAAGGCATGTCTTCGACTCGCTTCCACTCGTTGTTTCTCAAGCTATAAACCCTCACCTCGGAATGAAACGACAGGTGATCCAATCCGATAAACTGAGAAATCCTCACCAATTTATAGTCATCCTGGATAGCGTGGTATCCAAGACCATAAACCCTCGCGCCACATAAGCACATGTTCGAATCGCGCTTTCGATCCGATGGCAGAGACGGCAAGATTCTGTACTTCTTCGTCGACGGGTTCCAGAGAGCGATGTCTTCGGCCACGTTACAGAGGCACAGAAGGCCGTTGCAGGATCCCAAAACGCGAATTCGATTGCTGTAGCACATGAGTGGATGATTGAGCTCGACGGCGTCGTTTAAGGAGTCGAAACTGATGCAGTAGAGGTCGGAGTCCCTTTTGAGAATCAAACTGAGATGCGATTTGGACTCTGCCGATTGCGTGAGGTGGAGATGGACGAAGTATGAGCTGTCGATGAGCGACCGCCATGGTTTTGCAATCGACCGGAAGCGGAGGAGGCGGGCGACGGGCAGACGAGAGAGTATGTCGACGATTACCTCCGGCGGGAGTTCGGCCATGGCCACGGTTGCTTGGATTTGAAGCTGCGTCGTATCTAGGGTGGATTTTGGAGTCTTCATTTCTGGAATTTGCTTGCAGGGTCTAGGGTTTTTTCACTTTTGCTTTCTTTCAGTGTTCTTTGCAGTTGGGGTAAGTAATTCAATTAGGTGGGGGTTTGGAGAAATGCGTGATGAGTCATGAGAGCGCGCCGTTCCTTACAAGATTTCTCGTGAGTCACGTGATGTACTGAAAAAGATGGTTTTTCCGCTTATGAGCGCCACGTTCGAAGCCTATTCTTTCTCTCCCACCGAATTCAATAAAATATTTTTAAAAGTTTCGATATTGGTGGAAGAGACATTTTTCAGTAATATACGCATACATACATCGTTATGTTAAAAAAAATTTCTCTTTATAATGACATAACGTACTAACCACGTTTCAAACATATTAAAAAATTTATCAACAAGGAGGAGTTCTAACTAAATTATTATAATTTTCTTTTCTTTTTTTATTATAAAATTACCTTAAATCTACCACCTCTTATATTTGGGGGAAGAGGGAACTTAACTTAATGAAGTCGATTTTTTTTTTTTAACAAATGATTTGGTCTCACAATGAATAAGCGATGAAAAAATAAATTGATTTAAATTTGTCTTTAGTAAAAATCAAACTTAAGATCTTTAATTTATTATTGAGGAAATCTTCTCATTTTAAGTTTAAGAGTTCACAACGGTATATTTTCTCCCACCCAAATATCAAGTTTGAATCCCCTTTTTCAGTAGCTTGCATTAAAAAATGAAAAATTCATTTCTTTAGGTCCATAATCACGTGTTTTGCAATAAAAATGAAAAATTATCATTTAGACATATAAAACTAATTGAAAAAACAAATCTATTTAACTCATCTTAGTCTTACGTTTGTGTGATCAAATACTTTATCTTGTCACGATAAAGTAAATATACTATGTCATCATTAAACCAATACAATCGATTTTATTACGAGATACTTCATGACATTTACATCGATTTAATTTGTGCATCTACATCCAGCATTCGATAGACCTTATACAATACGACAAAGTATGCAAAATCAAGCAATAAATCTTAGAAGAATTCAATTTTAGACGGCACGACTCTTTCTATTTTTGCTCCGGCATTTGAGTTGTCTTTGATCTAGTTCTAGGTATAAAAAGAAACAAAAGCAAAACTTTGAGAAATAATACTTACGTGTGGAGATCATGGAAAGTGAGATTGAAACTTGAAGAAGAGAAATGAAAGAATTAAGTTGTTATTGTTAATAATGAATTTCATATTGATGGAAGGAAGGACCTTGCATGGACTTTTATGGTGGATCGGAACCTCAACTTCTTTATGGTATCAGAGCAGGTTATCTCACGTGTGAAGCCTAACGTTCATTCGTGCTTCACGTCACCCCGTTTGTGTTGTCCACATGTTAGGTTTGAAGATTCGTCACGCATGATGAAGAGTGTTGAGAATGAATCTCATATTGATGAGATGATGGATTTTGAATGGAAGTAAGTTGAACTACTCTTCATATTACTAATTAGTTTTATGATAAAACTCCAACATTCTTTAGTTATTTCAAGGTAAAACCAAATGTACAATGTCTCACACGAAAGACTGATGCCCTACTTATACACACGTTAACATTTCCTGTTCCCGTGTGAGATACTTGGAGAAGAATCATCAAGGCCTTGCCCAATATGTGTTTTACGTCACTTTCATTTACAAAATACGTATCACTAAGAGATATGATTTTTGAATGTCTTATTTTCAGTCCCACACGTTTTATTTTGAAATTGAGGGCAGCTAGAGATTGATATGAATTATTCTTACGTGTTGTGATCGGATTATACTAATAAAAAAATAAGTACGATAATTAGTAATAATGTAATCATCAACGATCACATCATATAATTTAAATTGATAATCTCCTTGGCATTATCTTAAAAAATAATCCAATATCACTTGTAAGCTTAATCTTCAGTGATAAAATGTATTTGGGTCTGCCACGTGTACATACACATCATTTCGAGGTCAAGAAAACAATATAAAAATCAAAGTAATTGTGAATAAGCTTCTCTATCCCTCCACTTAACCATTCCACAGTTTCTTCATTGTTTTTTGACATTGACATAGGAAAGAGATCCTCTCCGAATCTCTTTCATCAAGGTTATCAGATTAAGTGATTCAGGTCTTTGAATTTTCATCAAACAGTCAAAAATTATTATAGTTTTTAAGATATCAAAACAAGTAGGCCGTTAAATAAAATTTCAAAGGCCCGAATCACTTGATCCGATGATCTTGATGGAAGAGATCCGGAGATAATCTATTTCCATTGATATATTTCATGCTACGTGGTTTATAGTACAACCATTCAGATGATAGCCTGGCTAGACCTTGCATTATTATCAAGTTCGGATTTGGATCCTCTCCTAAGCTTAGAAGGCTAAGCTTCACGAGCAAATCACACGGGCCGTTGAATTTTGATCTAACTACTACAATTATTATAACTTTTAGAGTGGTTGTCTGTTTGTAGCTGTTGGATCAAAATCCAACGATTCGTATGATTTGCTTAGAATGCTCAGCCTCCTAAGCTCATGAGAGGATCCAAATCCATCAAGTTCAATGGTTGTGGCAATTTGTAGTCCTTTTCTGCAAACGTGGCTCTGTTTCGTGGCCTCTTTTCCCGCACTAAATTTGAATGAGAGGTCATCTATTAGAAAATGTCGCACTTTGCCATGTTCATTTTTTTTTTTTTTTGGAAACTCACTTTGCCATGTTCTTGGATATAAAATTTGCTAACTCTTATTAGCGAATAAATGATAATTAGTAGCAAAATCCAATTTAATTAGCAATATCAAAATGAAAGCCAAACTTGTTTACAGCTTTAGTAATGAGTCAAGAACTTCTTACACCTAAGTTATATTATTAAAAGCTGGCACGAATGATCTGCAATACTTACGTGTGTATCACATATAAAAAGAAAGGTAAAATTATCTACTATTTTATATGTTTTGAAAAGCGATATTTTAAAACACTTTAATTTATAAAGTTTATTTGTATTAAAGTGTATATCAGTAACATGTACAATTTGATAAGTCTAAATGGCATTACTCTATATATTAAAAAAAAAAAAGACTCAAACTCAAAGACAAAAAGACGGACACACTATACCGCCCAACCAATTAACTCTACTTGTATGCATAACTAGATAGAAAAGCCTTCTTTGTATACAAAACCGAATATAAAAGCACCATTTCCTCGCATTATATAACCAAGTGATTTCCGTAATCCAATCCAACATCAATAACATGGATCATCATCCAATATCCGAAGACCGCAAAACCCCGCTTCTCCCTCTCCACGATCAAATCCAACGGTCGCAGAGCTTCCATTCATCCTTGAAATCCATTCTAACACTCAAGAACTTCTTCGTCCTCTTCGGACCTCTTCTGTGCACCATCATATGCCTCTGTGTGAAGCTAGATGGCCCGGTGGCCAGCCGGAACATGTTGGCGGTGCTGGTATGGGTGTTTGCTTGGTGGCTCACGGAGGCAGTGCCCATGCCAGTTACCTCAATGTCCCCTCTCTTCCTCTTCCCGCTCTTCGGAATTGCCTCTGCAGATGATGTTGCCCACTCTTACATGAACGATGTTATTGCCCTTGTTCTTGGAAGCTCGATTTTGGCTCTCGCCGTTGAGCATTATAACATGCCCAAAAGATTGGCCTTGAATGTGAGTCCCCTTTTCGTTGCAATTTTCTCATATTACCTCATTCATGTGATTTATGTTCACACAATATTATCATCGCCAACAAAACAAACATAAATATATTTTCAATAATATTAATATGTGTCACAACTTGAGGTTTGGATGCTTTAGTTTCCTAGGGTGAGAGCTGCATTGTGCCCGAATCCTAGCTCATACTACGTGCTTAGGGTTTTCAAAATAATTTAATTTTTGGATTCAAGCGATATTAGTGAAGGACAATCGAAATTTGGACTTCAGGTACATGAATAATTTATGGTAATGTTAAATAGATCATCTATTTAAATTAAATTTTGGAAACTATATGATGTGGTTGTTGATAATTGAGATAAAATTTTTCAATGTGCTGGAAATACGGCTCGGTACACTAAATGTCATAATAAAATTTGTTAGAATTTCTTTTTTCAAGTTTCCAACAAATTGTATTATTATACTTGATTTGATGGGTGGTGCTTGCAGTATACTAAAAAATCTCTCGATGATTGAATTATTACTTAAATATTGATTAACGTATTTATTTTGTAGAATAATATTATACCCACCTCAAATCTTATTTCTCCATCCACCTTATATTTACACCCAGCATAAAAAAAACAAAACACGCATAAACTCTTTTCCCACCCACCGTTACTCCCAAAATAATCCTATATATTTCTTCTTCTAATTTTCCTTGCTTTAAACAAATATACCCAACAACTCCAACTCCAAATATCATAGTAGCCCCCTTCCCAGAACCGTCACTATCAACACACCCAAATCCCCAACCCCTCTCCCCAAAACACATCCAGCGCCCCTCCTCACCCAAAATCCTCGATCGGCCTCAACGGTGATAACGCTGATAACAAACTATGAAGAAGAACTTATGAAGAACTCAAGAAAGCTTTCGACGAGAGAGAATGTAGAGAGAGAAACTGTATTATCATTATATCCAACTATTACATCATACATCCTTATAAATACAATGACACATAACTGACTTCTAGAGTTCCCAATACAATTGTGACACCTGGCAATGTAAAACAATACTAATCTTTTATCCTAACATTCCCCCTCAATTTTATGCTGGCCATTGGCTAGCATAAGATTGTTACAATGAGAACTAAACAAAGGAAAACAGAGACCCTTTGTAAGAATATCAGCAAACTGTTCAGATGAGTTAACAAATTGCAACATAATGGTGCCTTGCTGCACTCTTTCCCGCACAAAATGACAGTCTATTTCTATGTGTTTAGCTTTAGAATGGAGAATGGGATTGGTTGCTAAAGCCATGGCTGATATATTGTCACAATGGAGTAAAGGAGTTGTGGAAGGAGATAAAGATAGATCCTGAAGTAACTGCTGAATCCACACAACTTCAGCAGTGGTAGTTGCCATTGCGCGATATTCTGCCTCAGTTGAAGAACGACTA